ATTTCAGCCATGTACTGACTAGATTGCTTCTGTGAGTTAAAATCTCAAAAGGTCTCAGGCTTTGTTAATGATATCAGCTTTCAAATAAATTCCTGTGCTTAATTTTATTTATATTGTGTACCAGTTACCAAAAAACCTGTAGTGATGTATAAAGTTCCTGACAAGTAGCAAATTATATGGGTTTGGCGGGAGTATGCAATCCCAGAAAGATGAAGCTGGAACTTTAAATCATCTGCTCTAGTACTGTCTTGCTTTAAGGCAGAAATGTATATACAAGCCTGACCTTGGCAGATGTTTACTGAAGCCACAATTCAAAACTTTCAGTAGAAAAGATTAGATTGTCATTAAACTTTGCTAATTTCAGCATTTTACCTCTTTATGAAATGCCTAAGAACTGGTAATAGCGTTCAAAAAAAAATTTTACTTGATCAGTCTAACAAGCCATTTATAGAAGCTAGATGCTTTTCAGTATAGATGGTAAAAATTAAAATAAAAAGTAATGATCTGCTTTTAAGGATCTACTGAGCAGGATATTATGTTTGCACTGTTGTGTCCTATAGTTCATGACTGACTTTCCTCCCATGAATTTGTGTATTTCTGAATGTATCTTAAACATCCAACACATATTGTGATAGTGAATTGCATGATTCAGTCTGTACTACTTTTGAATAAATTTTGTTACTGAATGATTTTAGTAAATATTTGTAGTTCTTCCAGTTATTAAAATAATAGCAATGGTTTTGTTTTTATATACACAGTATCAAATTTGATATTTTTTAGAATCTTCTGTGTTTCTTCTGTTACTGAGGGAGCTTATAAAGTTCTGTTTACTGTGTTCAAAAATTCAAGTCAAAGGTAGACCATTAACTTATAACAGAGATTTTCCTTTTATATACTATTCCATTTCTTTATAATTCGTGACATTTCCCTTGCCTGTTTGACTGTGTTCAAAACTGGGCCATTATTATCAAAAAAGTAACTGAAAAGACCCAGTTGTAATGACTGTTCCCTCAGCTGTTAATATTCAGATCACAATCGCATGTTGTTCTAGAATATATTCCATAGTTCAAAAAAAGATCAATTCTGACATGATATAGAGTCTCATATAAAATTTTAGAGCAGACTAGATTAAAACATTTGTCCTTTTTAGCCTTATAAATTATGTATCTGTGAGAATTGCTTCTTTTAAAAACCATGACCCCTAACAGTAATAATTTCTATTTATTTTGTTCTGTATATGTATTGGTTGTTTTTTTTTTTTTTTGATAGTTTTGTAATGAGGATTTAGAGAATCTAGTTTGACATCTTGAAGCAGTAAAAAAAGAAGGTATAAAACAATAGTTGACCTACTGCTTATAATATCTCTCAAAAATCTGCCAAAATTAGCTGACATGTATATCTTCTTTCACCTCAATAAAGTTATTTTTCTTTTTTCTTGCATCAGTAAGGGTCCTGAGTTTCTTCCACAGAATTGCTATTTATTCATATAGATGCAGCTCAGCATAGGATTTGTTTTATTGCCTGGTATTCTCTTAGTTTTTGAGAAAATGTTTTCTGCGCACAGGGAGCAGCTGTCTGCTTTCAGTCTAGATGATTTGACTTTTAGATTAAGAAAAAGATGGCTGAAAGGTGAGGACCAAAAGTTAGAGCCTTTCTGAAAGTAAGCAGTGTGCGCAGCTGTTGGTGTATGGCTGGAATTTCACAGTCTCCATCTCCAGCTTGTGCATTGTGATGCTCTGTACTAAAATGATTATTTCCTTCTCCTTCAGAGCATTGTTTCAGTTAGATTGCTTTCTGTCATGAAACTGAGGGGCAAATATTGTCATTGGTCTTTTAAGAGGCCACTGTCAGCTCCTTCCAATTTCAATATGTAATTGTTTGTTGGATTATTAAAATGCTATCAGAGTTTAGGTAAAAATATGTCTGGATTATAGGGCTTGTAGATCTTGGAAAGATAAATATCTGTCAATCCTCTTTTACTGATGAAGAATCTATTTTATGAGAAGGTAAAATAAAATATTGCCCAAAGGAAAATAATGCTTAAGGGTAAGATGCCGTATCTCCTGATCCTTGGACCGAGATTAGCCCGTGTCATTTACTAACATTCATAGTGTTTTTGGAGCAATGCACATAACAAGGAATTGCTGCCAGGGCCTGAAGGGGATGGTAGTGTAGAACAGAGAGGACAAAGTGAGGCTTTATACATTCTTTTTAGTATTTCTATACATGTAATTTATCTACAATCATTCATTAAGTAATGATAATTACTTGCCTGATGTCTTAGAAACCTCCTGACAGAACTTTATCTCCAAAAAATTTGAAAGTGAGGAGAAAGCAGTGTGGCTTTTGAGGGCAGCAATATCAAGGGATGTGCGATCACCTTTTCACATAAGAAGTTTGGAGCAGATCAGCGAGTGCTGATAGCAAGGAATGCCTAGTCTACTATAATTCTCTGGAGTTCTTCTGGAGCATGTAACTTGCAGCTCTGTGGTTATGTATTTTGATTTTTCCTCACTTTGGCAAGATATTTATTTATTTAAGTACAAAATAAACATAGTGGCTTTGAAATACATCTTTCTTCATTGTATACTTGCAGGTCTAGTTAATATCCATGTTTGGTAACATAGAAAGAAAATGTGCTAGCTATACGGGGAATGGAGTGATAGAGGCCAAGTCCATAATGAAATGTTCAATGCTAGTGGTAAAGTTCATCTTTCAAATTTAAAGGGAAGATATTCATTAAAGCTGCTTTTAATTAGCTGTTGTAATAGAGGAAACTGGAGATGAAGAAATCTTGAAAATAAATCCTGTATTTGCCCTGTATCCATGGTCGTTGTATTTTGCTGTAGGTTTTTCTTTCTAGTTTGTTTTACTGTTTTTCTACCAGTAATGAGTAAACTAACAGTTGGATTTTTTTTCCAGGGATAATCTTGTGCCCTAGAGATACTAAAACCAAAGCAACAACAACAAAACATGAATAAACTAATAAACTATGACTTGTATACCTTCAAGTCTTTCTTTGCAGTTTGGTTTCAATAGCTCTGCTTTCAGAGAATTGCATTATGTTGTGTTCTATCCTAGTAATTGGAACAGAACCATTTTCATGACAAGATCCAGGTCAGTCCAAGTATGAGTATCAAAATCTGGTAAAGTCATGCTTCTGCAAAACTCAGAAAGTCATGAGGAACATTGCTGGAGGAGAGACTGTATAGAGCTGGAGGAGGTTTTCAGTTAGGCCTGTGATGTGTTTTACACAATTTTCTGCATTTCTCAGTTGCAATAAAATGTTGCAATCAACTTACCCCTATCACCATTAAAAAACAGATTTATATCTTATAATGAAGTCAGTCCAAAACATTGTAGTGTGAATGAATGTAGGACTTGCTGTCCAGTATAAATGCAGTAGAGTCTAAAATTTACTGTTTGGAGAAGAGGGAGAATGCTTTATATGCTGTTACAGTGCTAAATTTAAAGTAATCCAGGCACAGTCCCGTTTTTTTAATGATCTCTTTAATTATAGGACTGTTTGTTTTCCTTTTCAACTGATATTGCAGTATTGATATTGCACAAGTCTTATGAGGAGTGGCTGAGGGAGCTGGGATTGTTTAGTCTGGAGAAGAGGAGACTCAGGGGAGACCTCATTGCGCTTTACAACTTCCTGAAGGGAGGTTGTGATGAAAAAGGGTCTGGCCTCTTCTCCCAGGCAAATAGTAGGACCCGAGGAAATGGCCAGAAGTTGTACCAGAGGAGATTTAGGTTGAACATTAGGAGAAACTTTTTCTCTCATAGGGTGGTCAGGCACTGGAATGGCTGCCCAGGGAGGTGATGGAGTCGCCGTCCCTGGCAGTGTTCAAGAGGTGCCTGGACGAGGAGCTACGAGAGATGGTTTAGTAGCTTGTGGTACTGGGAATGGGAGGGTGGTTGGATTAGATGATCTTGCAGGTCGTTTCCAACCTTGAGATTCTGTGATTCTATGATTGCAGTTCAAAGAATAAGGTAAGGTAGACTGTTAGGAAAAAAAAAAAAAAAAGAAAAAAGGAAAAAAGAAGAAAGTCTGATGGTCTGATGTACACCACAGTTCTATTTCAAAGAGGTTATGAGATGGCCTTCCACTATCTCGTTTTGTTTCTTTTCCGATTTCTCCATTGAGACAGCTAATAAGGCTAATGCCGGTTTTGTAGTATGGGTGGTAACAAATGTAATGGTTTTCTGAGTGAAAAATTTTAGTTCTGTCTGAATCAGAATTGAATCCATGCTGTGGACATAGTAGTATGCCTTCATAAACCCTGAAGCCAGCTTACTGTACATCTTTCTGAAAGCTTGAAGATGTATTCTTGTTAACTGCATTTGGAAAGTTTTGGGAGATCACTAGGGGGAGCAAGTCATTGCTTGGAGCATGTGAGATAGAAAAATAAGACTGCAGTCACTCCAATCCTTTGAAGGTCTGTAGCATTTTCCATTTGGTTTAGGAGCAATTAGCTTCCCTCAAATGTCCAAAGCTGGTTAGTACATTTTTGCTCATTTCTTATTCTATTATATTTGAAAACACATTCACTCTGCTGATTCCCACGTTATTTGTTTTAGGGAGGCTATTTATTCTGTTCTATTTTTGCATTTGTGGAACAGTTAGGGTACAGCCTGCATGTGCCTGCACTTCAGATGGCAACTGAACAAGAAACTACTAATCTTACTAATTGTTGTTCAAGTAACGGTTCACATCTCCTTAGTTTTATTGCCTGATTTCTTAACTGTACTTTGTAACACTTAAGAGAGCAAGCTAGTTGTTATGTTCACGTGAAAGCTATAAGGAAGAGTGTGGAAGACAATGTCAGCCTTGAAGCAGAGCCAATGAAGTGTATCTTGACTAAATTCAAAATGATGCTTCTGTGTATTCTTCAGTGCCATCTACCGGCACAATAACCCAGTAGAGATTTACAGGGCCAGAACATTCTCCTAATAGCAAGCAATTTGTAAGATTTTTTTTTCTTTTTTTCTTTCAGGAGCAGGGCAAGATTGGCGTAGTCTTCAATATTGGCACAGTGGATATCTCTATTAAAGAGGAAAGCACACCTGTGAATGATGGCAAATACCATGTGGTGCGCTTTACCAGGAATGGCGGCAATGCTACGCTTCAGGTTGACAGCTGGCCAGTGAACGAACACTATCCAACAGGTACGTGCTTTTTCTGTTTTTCTCTTTCTGTCTACTCATATTTACAAAATAACATTTAACCATAGGTGGTTACTGTATCGGACTTTGTAGCATCGTCTCAATATTAAACTGACCAGCCTAGTGGTGAATGTTCTGTCTTTTGGAAAACACAGGGTTGGTCTTTTATAACTGTATGGTATGATACACATAGCGTTTGCTATTATGGAGGTCTCTAAGTGAATCTTGGTTCAGCAGAGAGTAAAAAACAAAAACAAAAAACTCAACAACAAACTTGGTTTTGCTACTTGTGATGTTCTCAGTAATTAAGAGAGAAAAGTTTTGAATGCACTTTGCAAGAAGGAGAGGTAGATTTAGCCACCCCCAAGATGCAGGCTATATAGGTACACAGCTGAACTGTAAAGAATGTGGGAGACTGAGTTGCAAATACTTGAATGAACCTTATTCTTGCCTCAATTTTTCATCACCCGATTTTCACTCTCTTTTAGGTTTGCACATAAATAGTGGTTGACACAAAATCTAGACAAAGCTGACAACTCTTAGTTGACTTTAGGTCAAAATATAGTGCAGCAATTCAGTACCTCTTGGAAAGTCATCACCCCAAGTCCACCAGGAATACTGAACAAGTGGCTCTTGAATCACTGTCTCATGTGTTATCTCACTCTTGGGAATACACAGCCACGTCGCCATGTAAAAAGATTAAACTCATCCCTAGTGAAAAACAGGCTTCTGTACATGATGTGGACAGGGCATAATACAGTTGAGACTTGGTGATGGGGATAGTTACAAAAAGCAGAAGAAACATAGGGAAACAATTCCAGTTGTAGCCATGTTCATCTTGTTCACACTTTGTTGTCTATGATCAAGTGATGATCATCTTGTTGCTTCCAAGTATTAAGTATAAGCAACTTCCAGTTCTTCCTTTCTAGATTATACATAACTGATCTGGAATAGAAGATAGAAAAATTTACTGATAGACATAAGGCAATTTACTAGTTTTGTATGAATATTCCATTATTCTCAAACACTAATAAATTATTCCAAAGGGATAATTTCATCTCTTCTATTCAATCGTAAAGTGCATAGGGAAATTTTCACTGCAAGTGATATTACTTCATATTCAGTGATTTTTTTTTTTAGTGTTTTGATGCTGTGTGTGCAAGAGTACACTTTAATAATTATTAATTAAATTAAAAAAAATAAAATTAATCATTATTTTAGTGAAATAATTGCTTTCTAAGAAAGTAATGACAAGAATGCTGAGCTAGATTCTAGCACTATTATCCATTCGTAAGAAAAGGTAGGATGGCTGTAGGTCCCCAAACTGAGCATCCCTTTTCTGCTCCTTTCTTCAGTTGTTTTATGGTAAAATACCTCTGACCTAATTGCCAGCCAATTATAGACAGTAAAAATCCCTCGAATATGTTTTCTTCTCCTATTACTTGCTGTAGTAATTCCCTCCTGTAAAGAAACAAAACATTCGGCTATTGCTTCAGAGATGGTTTTTTTTGTTTTTTTTTTAAAGGGAAAAGAAGTCACATTCAGAGAATATCTCAGTATCCTCTGTATTTGTCTTGGTTAAAGTAGTCCTGCATTTTCTTTAGAAGGTATATGGTTTAGTAGAATTGGCATTGGTCTTATGTTCTGGCCTAGTATTAAGTATATGCAGTTGTACCCCAAAGGAACCTTTATATTCCAGACATCATTTCCTTTCCATGCAGGTGTTTCACATTCTGGCTCTTCGTAGGTGTAGTATTTTTCAGCCTCTCCATGTGAAAATAGGGCTTTGGGCATCATACATCAATGTGTGTTTGTCTCCTATATTTTTTCAGTTAATTTTCATATTGATTTTTTAGCCAAATTTGATGGAGGGAACAAAAGATTTTTAAAAAGAAAAAAATATATTCAAGTCCAACATGGCTAGTGAAAATAACTGATGGAGGAGTGCACTATCCTAATTCTCCCAGGGGAAAGGACTGTAGCTTGATCTCACTTTGTGTTAAAAATTAGAATATTCATAGGTAGATAGATAAAAGTATTATTAATGTCTCAGCTTTGTGAAAAACTTAAACAAGAGAATAGCTACAAGAAACCATGCCTGATTAGTTCAGTTTTCTAAGGAAGTGATGATTTAGAAGACAACTGAGCAAACCAAACATGCGCCTAATATTTTTCATGTAGAGAATAAACACATTCAGCAGAATCTCAGCTTTAGAAGAGTTTTGTGGTTAAGCTGATCTGGACTAATCTAGTGTGTCTCAGCTATAGAATACTGAAATTGCAATTTATCTTCAACTTGTGTATTAATATCGAAGGATTTCTGTGTTCTACATGTAGGATCACTTCAATTCTGGAAGAGACAATTTTTTGTAGTGTTTTAAAAAGAAACTTATTTGTGGCACGTACATGTTTGAGTATGCTGTGATGTCTATAATGTGGACAATTTAATGTGTGCATAATTTTTTGCGTGGTGTTGCAGCTGTGTTCATAAATTTGGCAAATTAGCGAAAGTTTCTTTGTCATCACATGTGATGGCAGCAAGGTGGAAATCTTAATGGTATTTCTATGTTCCTCTCTGAGTTTTATTAGCTCTTGAAGGGTTATACATCAGATTCATAATTACTTGCTCAATGGAAAGTACAAAAAAATGTGTGATGCTCATAAAATGAGCAAAGAGGGAGAATATTGGCTTTCCTTAAAACACTGTATTCAGTTAAATTGAAATTAAAGAAACTAGGGAATGAAAGATTCCAGAGATGTGTTTTACAATTTCATATAAAAGACAAGGAAGTGAAAGGAAAGCAGAAAAGGAGCAAACCTACAGTTCTGATACGTACATATTGGGTTGTTTTTTGTCTGTCTATTTGTCTTTTAAACATCCAATTACGCCTCAGTAACCTGCAACACAAGCTGTTTTCTTGTGAAGAAAAGGGTTAGAGGTAAATCTGATCTTGCATCTAGGTCAAGGCAACCCCCACTAACAATACAAGCTGGGAGTTGAAAGGAGTATAGCCCTGCCAAAAAATAAAATGGGGTGGTACTGGTGGATGGGAAGCTGGACATGAGCCAGCAGTGTGTTCTTGCAGCCCAGAAAGCCAACTGTATGCTGGGCTGCACCAAAAGAAATGTGGCCAGTAGGTTGAGAGAGGTTATTCTGCTTCTCTACTCTGTGCTGGTGAGGCCTCACCTGGAGTACTGCATCCAGTTATGGAGTCCTCAGTACAGGGGGGACACAGACCTGTTGGAGTGTGTCCAGAGAAGGCCCACAGAAATGATTCACAGAATAGAAAATCTCTCCTATGAGTACAGGCTGAAAGAATTGGAGCTGTTCAGCCTGGAGAACAGAAGGCGCCGAGGTGACCTGATAGCAGTCTTTCAATATCTAAAGGGGAGCTACAGGAAAGAAGGGGATAGACTCTTTAGTGGGGTCTGTGGTGACAAAACAAGGAGAAATGGTTTCAAGCTCAAAGAGGGTCATTTTAGGTTGGACATAAGGAAGAAGCATTTCACAGTGAGGGTGGTGAGGCCCTGGTATAGGCTGCCCAGCGATGTGGTTGATGCTCCACCCCAGAAGACTTTCAAGGCAAGGCTAGATCAGCCCCTGGGCAACTTGATCTAGCTGTGGATATCCCTGTTCATTGCAGGGGAGTTGGACTAGGTGACCTTTAAAGGTTCCTTCCAACTCTAAGGATTCTATGATAAACTGTAAAGGAGGGAATTAACTTGAAGCTAAGGTTGGCTCAGATTTAGAAATGACCTCTCAGTTTTAGTACCATTCAAACTCTGACAGAGTTTCTCTTACTGGATGATAAGACTCTGAAAAGTGATCCAGTGAAGGTAACTGAGACAAGGCTCTTGAGAAATGGGTAATGGCAAACAGCAGCATTAACAATGGGACTCCTGTCTGCTGTTCAGCTTTATGACTTAGTTCGGGCAAAACCGTTGAACTTTTCATGATTTATTTGTATTTTGCCCTTGCTTCTCTCCCTCAATTGTGCAATAAGGAGATGGGCTTTATCTATATTTTCTACTGATGACCAGTTCCTTGATTCTTAATTAACCAAGTTGATCATTGCAATGTATTTCTCAGTCAGGGTATGTATACATTTTGCTACCAAATACGTATGATTTGCTGTGCCCTAAAGTGCTATTTTCCACAACTTCCTCTCTTCCACTGTCTCATGTGCTTTCACCTTTTAGTGTACATCCCAGGTAACAGATTGCGTTTGGCCATTTTCTTCTTTATGTTGCTCCTGACAGATGCCTCTAAATTTAAATTCATCTTTTTGGTGATGCAGTAGGAATCATTTTGGAATCATTTTTGAAATAAAAGTTAGATAGGAAAGCTGGTTTAAGCAAATGAAGTCTGTGACATGTTTTTGTTTCAGATTACTGTAAAACCCTTCAAACTTGAGGCACTTTACAGTACAGTGAGAAGGATTTAAGTCAGGCATCCTTAAGGTTTGGGAGTCAGCAATTCTCAGAAGGGTTAAAAACAAATCTTTTGTTTTGAAGCACAGCTGAAACACCTCAGTCCTTAAATTTTCTTTAGTTCTTGAGTGGCAGATTTTCTTCATCTCTGCTTGCAAAGAAATTCTTTGTATGTTGCCAGATTTGTAGTGCATGTTGAAAGAAGCCTGATATTCCTGTTCATCCATCCGTGCATCGACTACATCTTCTGCAGTCATAAAGGAAACAAAACTAGGTGAAGAGAAGCTTTACAGGGAGAAAGAATAAGAAACCAGAGGAAAAATCTAGGTGGAGTAATGTTTTAAAGGAGATTACAGGAAAGGAAGTGAGAGGCAGAAATTTGCTGGCATTTAAAGAAATATATACTTTGCTGAGAGAATTGTAGCCTAGATTTATACATTTGAAAGGAAAAAAAAAAAAAAAAAAAAAAAAGAAGAAGAAATGGGAGGGACAGCATTGAGCAATTGGGCCCTTATGAGGATTCATTAGTTCATTCTCTCAGCACAGATTTTATATTTTTCCCCTTTATCATT